AAAAAAAAGTGCTTTTTCTCCCTCCCCGCCCCCACTCCCCACAAAAAAACTCCCCACCCCCCCCCCCCCCCCCCCCGAGTTGTTGATTACACGAAGAAGACGAGCACTGGCATTTTTTTTAAAGAGATATTCCCAGACTTCTCCAGCCTCTCCTTTCCGGCTCCTTCTAATAAGGCAGGGTGGAATCAGCTGGGAGGAAGGTGACGGCTTTTAATCAGACGCTGTTTGTGCCTCATCAGAAAAAGGTAAAAGACTCCAGGTTTTGTGTGTGTGTGTGTGTGCGCACACAGTCCCACGCTCAAGTAGGTCACACACGTTGCAGAGCAGGGAAGCCGTGTGTCTCTGCAATGCGCGATTAGCCCATCTGGTTTTGACATAATGTATGTCCGGTCCGTGAGACCCGCAGAGAGAGTGACAAAGACAGAAAGAAAGAGAGAGTTAAAGAAGCGTGGAAGGAGGAGGAAATGGAGAAGGTGACCTTGAAATGGAGTGCTTGGTGGGAGTTTGAGCAGCCACTCCAAAACATCAGGGAGACTCCAGTCAAGAGCTGCCTTGATTTAAAGCCAATCTGCACTATATATATCATAGACGTTTGACTCATCTGCCTGATTACATTTGACTGCCTGTGCTTAAAAATATTGTATTAATGATGCATCAGGGTTTTTGTTTTTTTTGTCAGACAGATTAGTGTATCAAACTGAGGGACTAATGTGAAAATACCCAATGGAGCTATAAGGAATGTCGTTATAGCATCCCTTTTTTTATGCAAAGTGAGGAAATTTCACTAAAATTTGACTCTCTGCCAGCAAAATGGGAAATTTACCCATTACTACTAATTACCGTTTGGTTTTAATAGAATTTCCAACAGGCAGTGCGCAGCAGTATTTAAGCTTTGCTGCACCATTTGATCTTCCAATTAAAATTATGGAAGTACTGCATATAGCCAAAAAGTTATTTTTGCCTGTCTGCCTTCAGTCACATGAACTGGAGTGACCTTTTTACCTGTTATTAATTAATTCACAAGGTTTAAGATGATATGGGCCCAACCTTCCTGCTACATTTTTTGCCCTACTGCAGTGCTTAAAGATGTGTTTTTCCACAATGTTTTAATGTAGATTGTGTTCAAAGGAATTTCGCACCATTTTTCCCAGAAAAGCATTTGTGAGGCCAGACACTAATGTTGGACGAGAAGGCCTGGCTGGCAGTTTTCAAGGTCAGGCCAACATCAGACTCATCCATCCATGTTTATGCACTCCAGCCCAGTTATGTTGGGACAATAAGAAGCAATCACTGTCCAAAATGTTAGAATACAAAATGTTTTGGTGTGCTGCGGAAAAATTATTTGTACTCAAACTAAGGTGCTCAAAAACTAGAGAAACATCCTCACACTACTCTCCCTTGATTTTTAGTGAATGTTCTTGTTTGACTGCACATAAACTAAACTCCTAATGGGGCATGCCATAAAAACTCAAAATATCAGGAGAGGCTCCTCAGATCATGGAGCTTTTCCTGTGATCTGTAAGGGTGAGCCTCGCTGTATATACGGCGAATGCGCTTGTATCTGGGATCTCATTCTGTGCGTCACAATCTATAACTAAACACTAAAAGCGAAAGTATGAAAGCAGGCAGACCAATAAATCAAGTATCCTGTTTTAACGTCCAACTGGCAGGAGCGTCACCCATATTATCAGACAGGACCCCAATTTTACACTTGATCTAAACCCAGAACAAAAGAACATTGGCCTCAGAATTAGAAAAGCCCGCCGTCACCCTTGCAGCTTTGCACAAGTACGTGAGCCCATCACCGTCGGCGAGGGGCAATGAGGTCAGATGGCATGTGAGACAGGTGACAGTGGAGGGCAGAGAGCCGGTTTCTGCTGTCATCATTTGACTTTTAAAATACCCATCTTGGTTTAGCATACTGACTCATTAAAGGAAAAAAATAAAAAAAAAATATATCCTGTTAAATCTAATTTGGTGTGTTTGGATGAACTTTATGCTACCTACCCACCAGCGCATTGAATAAAAAGGATTTTCTTTTTGTTGGCAGTCCTTCACGTATTTTTTGAAAAAGCTAANAAAAAATATCATGACACTGATGCCTGTTGATCATTCATTTATTTAATTTGGGTGTGTGGCGGCAGGGAAGCACCTGAAACATGCAGATTTATGGATCCTGGGCACCAGGACTGGGAACCTGTGGTACAGATTCAGGTTTGTCTTGTGAAAAAGCATTTCACTAAGCATTTTGCGATTATTTGTGATAATTGTTTCTCTGTCAGAGTTTTATGTTCATGTCTGGATCTTTGAGAAGCAGCTTTTTCTTTCAAGCAGGGACTAAACTCTGTTTACAGTCAAAGTTTAGTCCGAGGGTTCGGTAAAATTCCTCTGAGGACATCCAGGTATTTTCAATTCCTCAGAATGCTGGTGTGAACTGGGAGACGCTGACACCATTCACGTTAGGAGCTTTTTTTTTTTTTTTCTTTTAATTACTGCCCTCCCCAGGGAGCTTGCTGGGTAGTTAAACAGAAATCAGCATTAAGGCAATTATTGGCTCACAATGAAATGAATACAATCTTGTCATCTGTAATCATTTGGGGCGTCTATGCCTCGGAGAAAACATCTTTCTATTACTCGGAGAGAGGAAGGAATGTGTAGCAGATTGGTGCATCGGTAACGCAGGTCAGCATCATTAGATTGTCTTTTCAAGAAGGCTGGTGGCCTACAACTTCCAGTCATGACTTGAACGTACCTTTAATCACTGTGCTGTGCTGCTCTGTTTGGATAAAATCCCTGAAAGTCTGTGGTTGCATTAGGAAAAGATTAAGCAGCGTGAATACTTTAGCAACGTTCTGCAGCTGTGATGTTGGCAATAACTTCAGATGGATGAAAAGGGTTTGGTTGTCTCACCAAAGTAAAGCCACAGACTTGCTGTCCTCTGACAAAATAAATTTTTCTGCACAAATTCGTACCTGACGTTCGTTTTCTTCCTCTGCAGCTGCAGAGTGATCTGGACCAGGAGTACCAGGACAAGTTTCGCAGACTGCCTGTGGAGATCCAGGAGTTTGTTCAGGACAGCAGCAAGACCAAGCTTTGCGACGACAGCCTCCCTGGAAACCTCGTTTCGTCCTCGACAACGGAGAGGCTCAACCACAAGGCGTCACAGTCCGAAGACGACATGGAGGAGGGCTCGTCAGAACACGCTTTCGACACCGCCCTTTAGGGATCTGACGTCTTGCTTCACACCGGGACATTGTTTGGTCGCTGAGGTTTGTGACCACAGGCTTAGGATGAGACTGCCCCACCTTTGGTCCAACTTGTAACCAATGGGAGGATTAGATCAAATCTAAGCCTGAACGGGTGAGTAGAGAGGTCCTCTCAGCTTACCGTGAAGTCCTGTCCAGAAAACTGTTTCATGTAAATATCTCTTTTTGTGTATTTGTATGTTAACCCTGTACGTTGTTCTCTCTTTCGGTACGGCCACAGGACGTGTTACTGGACACTAATTATTTGCAGGAAATAACTTACTTGAACTATTGCACAGACAGAGTAGTTTCCTTTTTTTGTTATCTTTTATGTTATCATGATGCTGTGACAGTCAGAGAGGTTTGGTGTGCCAAGATCTGCTTTGTCTTACGGTGGATTTCAGTTAAGTCGACTTGCACTGTAAAAAAAAAAAAAACAACATAAAAAAACAACTTTACATAGCCTTTAAAGTTTCTATCTTTAGAAGGTTGAATTTCATCCTTTCATGTTTGCACTGACGCCTCCCTGTATAAAACTACATAACTCTTTAAAACTACATAACTCTACTTTAACCCAGAAGCACTGGTGGCGTTCTGGTTTGCTGTTTTTTTCTCACAGAACTAAGCCTTTGTGTTGCTGCTATGATTTATGTTTTGTTTTTGTTTTTTACTCAGCATTTTAGCTATTATTTGTGTAATGTAAACTTTTGCTTAATACGATGCAGTCATTTCTTATTCTTTTTTTTATGTTTTGGCCAGTTTTTAATGAGTTTTACATTGTTTACTGCCAATTCTGTTGCACCAGGATGAGAAGGGATAGGATGTTGTACAGTGTGTGCATGCATTTGAACAACTGTAAATGTTACAATAGCGGTGTAGCACAGATGTTTATTTATGTATATCAACCTTTTTTTCTGGTACGTTTTTGATTGAACTTGCAAAATAGCTGTGGCTTTAACACTGTGGAAATGGGACTGTGTCTAAAATCAAACGGCTGCAGTTTTCAAGTAAACAGATTGCTTATTGTTTTCTTTACAGCCCCCCCTTCAGTTAAAGCTGTTAAACCAAGGAAAAATTATCACAAGAAGATCCAGTTTTAGCCAAATTATAGGAAGTGGCATTCCTATAATTTGGTGCTGAGGCTGTATTTACTCAAAACTCAGAGCGGATGCCTGAGACTACAGAGAACATGTCAACCCCCCTCCCTTTGCCTCCGTTCTTAATCTTCACCCAGTTTGAGGGGTTTTATCTGGGAATAAGGAAACGGTAGGGAAATGGCTTCATTTTGTCCCAACAGACGACGTAGCAATCAGTAACGTAAAAACGGTTAGTAACGTGATGCCTGCCAATAACAAATGACATTTGGCCATTTTAAATGCAATGCAGCAAACAACATAGTAACTTGGCGATAATGTATTACAGTTTTTAAATCCAATAACATCAGAACATTTAGTTAATTATGTAATGGTGCTACGCTATTGGGCTGGGAACTCCAAGCAAAACCATGCGGATCACATGAGCATGACTCTCTCCCTGATATACACCAAATTCCATGAAATGACTGAAGTGGCTGAAGCACGTTAGAGAGTGACCTGCAACAAAGCAGACTTTTGCGGTCTTAAACTCTAATCTCAAAAACTTGTAGAAGTTTGTGCAATTGCTATTTTCTGAACCTCTAAACTGTCATAAGGTTTGCAATAGAAGAGTTAATAGACAGCAGCCAGCGACTAATCGCATGGCAAACAGGTGGAGGTGGGTTACTGTGCGCCGGTAATCGTCCTGTGTGAAACACAGATCAAGAGCTGAATATTTATTAATAGTCAGAGAAACTGGAAAATCTATTTTTGTGGTTTTAGTAGAAATTTTTACACAACCTTTTCCGTTTGGTGGCTACTCTGATCTGAAACGCGTTACACATTCTATTCTTGACGTGTTTCACACAGGAAGATCACTGGTGTCACACTTCCATTTGCCTTGAAAATATTTGTCAGCTTCTGTTAAATTTGGAGACATCTTTTATCAACCATGCCTCAGTTCATGCCCGCCAGGCGATCACTTCATAACGACTTGAAAACAATTTTTTCCCAGATAATTTTTTTTCGTATCATCTTATCGTAATCTTTAAAGAAAAAAAAAAAACGAAAACACAGTTTTGAGATTGGAGTTACTTTAAGATGGTACAAAATCTACTGTTGTTTTGTTTTTTTTTTTGCTCCTGTTAAGTTGGACATTAGCTTCAGCCTTTGAGAGCTAGCAATATGGACCTATACTAATGAAGATGGAATTGAAGTAAGAATTGCCAAGTGCAGTTAAAATAAGAATAGATGACAATTATTTGCCAGAACCTCACTTTAAAAAAAAATAAAAAAAACAACCTCCTGAACCTATTCTGTAAGGCTCAGCTTCCTCCTTTTTCACATGTAAAGTATGCACATTCAGTACACATGGAGGAAGTATCTTTTGACTTCCCATCTGCCCGGTGCCATTCAGCTCTCAAGTGTGTCATGTGATATTAAATGATTTGTTTTTTTTCTCCAGCTGAAAATAAAACGAACTGATAGTGAGGAAATATCAAACATTTGATTCAGTTTTTAAAAGATGATTAGCGTGAGAGTCCTGTGCCTTTGAATGGGGTCATCATGTTTGATGTTGAATGTATGACATGCATCACTGTTTAAATTGACATTTTATTATACCATATGAAGCTGTGTTGAATAGACCGTGTGCACCTTTTAGTAAAGTACCACTACTGATGATGCTTGTGATGAGCAGTATTTGACCAGTGTCTCAAAAGAAAGGAGAGACATTTTTCTTTTAAAGCCTTGAACCACTTTATTTGACAGGGCCCATATTAACTTAAATGTATGCACTCAGAAAATGTAAATGTATATGACTTTCAGGATAAACATGGAATTGAGAAAAAAATATATAGTGTAAAGGGAAGTTGCTTGTAATTAAAATAAATGTGGCTTTTATCGTACTTTGCCGGAATGGACTTGTGTGTCTTTTTGAGTTTGTCAATTCAGTATTGTGATTTCCTTTTTATGCTAAAGCCGTGTGTTTTATGTATGCAATTTGTGCTTCAGTTGCATACATAAATTTACATTCTGATTTCAAACGAGAAACAGATCTAGAGTTTTCATTTTGTGTGCTTTAAAGGGATAGATCGGCGTTTTTGAAGAGAGGTTCTGCTAAAAAAAAATTTAGAAGCAGTTAATCTTATCTGCAGTAGATAACTCTCTTGGCATCTTTATTTAGGATAAATCCAGATTAGATGGTGCAGAGCGAGGCAGAGTTGTACCATCCTACACCAACTCCAACACCTAAAATATAACAGTTTAAGAAAATGCAGTTTTCTAAACTATGAAACAATTATCACTTTTGAATTGGCTTTTAATTTACACAGACATCATGGTTTATTGACACAGGAAATGGAGGCCGGAAGTATTGCACCAGCAATTACTTCCCTGTCTGAAACAAGTACCCAGAACATAATGTATTTACTGTTCAGAGTAACTAAAAGTAAAGTGGTGTAAAATGCAAAAATATTATAGTTTTTAAACCAAATACGAAATAAGCCACAAGTAAAACTAACATGGGTTTATACAAAACAAAGATGCTGGTATCTACTGCAGAAAAAGATGCTACTGCTTAGAACCTCATAACACTCAAATATCCAAAATTATCCCTTTAAAATATTGTTGGGCATAAAATGTACTTCTTCAGTCTTTGCAGTGCGGCAAAGATGATGCACTTCTGTTTGAAACATGTCTCCAACACATTAAAGTATGTGCTGGAAATGATGAAATAGTTGGGCCACATTTAAAGAAAGCAGGGCATTCATGAAGCAGTAAGCAACCCAGTTATGGAGAGTTTGGCAGTACCCAGTCTGAGGCAAATAGACTCTGCATGTAGTGTTTCCATGTCTGTGATACATGTGTGTCACATTCAAGGGCAATGAGGAGCAGGGGACAGTCTTCACAACCTACTTTTCTATTAACTCCAAGGTAACAATATGAGGACTAAGTGCCAGAGCTATAAAAAACTGAGAAGCAGTACATTTCTGATTTTGGGGACCTTCTTAAACACTTATTTACGCAAATCCGCCATCTTTACACGAATACCAGGGTAGAGTTGGTAGAGTTAAACACGCTATCTTCGTTAGGTGGGAGAAGTCTCTCCCAGTAGGTCTGCCTGCTCCTCAGCTGTGTCTATCACTGCATGCCGTTTGCCGTTTTTCAGACTTCATAAACACTATCTCCTTCTCAGTCGCAGCTCCTCACTCGAATCCCAACAGGCAACAGGAGATAAGGGTGAGCCCAGTCGCCCGTAGCAACCGCCGTGTCCAGTCAGAGGCCTCTGTGCATGCCGGCAACTAGGAAGTGAGCTAATTAACCTCGAGTTCAGAACGGAAGGAGAGTGGCTTTTTAATAAGATTCGCCTTGTTATATAAGCAGTGACGCCCTCCACGGAACTCCGTGGAATATTGTCGCCCCGTGTCTGTCCATCTGTTGCGGGGATGAAGAGGAGGAGGCGTCCTGTAACCAAGCTTTAATGAGGCACATCAGGGCAGCAGAAGAGGAGAGGACCGCAGAGTGCTACTAGGAAGGTACACTAAGCAAACACGCACACACTTGCACACAGAGGGAGACACGGAAACGTGAGTGGTCCAGCCTTTGGTCCCTAAATGCAATCTTTGCCCAAACCACCGACATGTGAATTTAATCGAGCCTTAATCTTAAAGCCAAGAATGCCAACGCAGAAATCCTTAATCTGTGTTGGACAAAACTCAAACCATAACACTCACATTATTTCTGACAATACAGGACTATTAAATAATATGGAACATTATTATTTAATATACAGACTTCATTAGTATATTTACAGCTTAACATACATTTTTTGTTTGTTGGTCAATTTAGATTTTAAACAGTAACAAATTAGTTAATACCTTTCAAGTTTAGTATTTAAGCTAGTGGTTTGTGAAGCTCTGAAAGACATCAGCAGTGATGTCATTTCCATTGCCAGGGGCTCAGTGTGAAGGCTGCTTTTGTTGTAGACAGAGATTCTGTGTTACAGTAGTGACAGATCGGGTCAGAAGCTTACATACAGTCATCTTGTCCCTGAACGTCCCTGAGCAACCGCTGTGTTGATTATTTAATCAGCTCTCTTTTTCAGGATACACTGATAGCAACATACAACTGGATTTAATTTTCTTAAAGCAAGGTTGTGGAACAACAAGTTTGAATGTCTTGTGAATTTTCTCTGATCTGCAAATGAGAGAAAATTGAAATTCTGAAAACTTTCTCAGAATTGCTTTTTTATTTATACCTCATCTACAGGTAAACATGTTCTCTTGTTGACATGGGGCATTGGGTGAGATGGTCTGTAGATAATAAATGAAAGCCACAAAGGTAATTTACATGCACAATCAATATTCCAAATAGTCATCCAAAATATAGGATTTGGATAAATCTCTATCAGTAAGTTGCAGTGAAATAAGGCACTGAATCATCAGGGTGATGTTAAACAATTGGATACAGTCCTATTTCATGACTCCACCAGTAGCACTGATGGCATAACATGACACTTTTATATATCCTTTATGGCTAGGGACACCTTCCGTTTTCCCAGAATGAGTTTGGGGTGTTGCTGTGTAGAGGGGATTGAAGATGTCAGCCCCCTCCATCTAATTTTTTTATAACTGGAATAAAGTAATTAAGTTATATGCTGAAAAGAACAGTTCGTAGATTTATGTGCATTCAGCCACACTAGTGGCTTCACTAGTGTGTAGCGTGTTACTAACTTTACAAAGGGAGGAGAGGGAGGCACTGTATGTCTTTTATCAGCGCATGGAGGCTACAGTAGTCAGCTGTTAGAAACAGTGGGAGGAGCTGGATGTGGTTCTGCTGGATGACTCACTCTTCTGTCAAACAGACACACTCATTCAGTCTTTCGGTGTCGGTTGTGGGTGCAGGGGGGGAGCGCGCTGCCTATCAGAAGAGGCTCCCCTAGTCAAAGCGTTCTCCACTGGAGGGCGAGTGCTACAAGAGCACCGGGACTCTCCGGCAGGCTGGAGAGACGGGATAGAGCAGCAGCTGGAGGACACACTGGCAGACAGGCACAGAGGGAGGGAGAGAGAAATCCCCAGCAGGACTCTGCCACGCAACATCTCTGTCCGCCGACGGATTAAAATCCAGCGTCTACCGCCGAAATCACGTAAGGAACAAATGAGGCTTTCCGAAATGTATTTCGAGGCTGTTACTATAACACTCAGAGTTATGGTGTGTCGTCTGCTTCGTTAAACTGTTGAATTTAAATACGAGGCGAATGATGTATCCTTCATTTGAACTCCATCACACTGGCTGCGCGAGCCTCCCTCCAAATCCTGCTCTCCTCATTCAGACACCGCTCATCCTCTGTCTGTCTAACTCTGTCACATACACCGCTGGAGACTGTAGCATCGCACAGCTAGCTAGCCAGACGCATTAAAATGGACATTTAGCTGGGACATGTCGAATTTATTCTGGTTGTGCTCAGCGGAATTGGCCCCTCTTCCAGGTAAATACGACAGAGAGCCGCTGCGGGTTGAAATTGAAATGAAATGCAGGGGTTTATTGATGTTTCCAGCGCCCTGGGAGGCTAGCCAGAGATGCTAGCTGTAGCGGGACAGAGCAGAGGGACGACAAGCACAGCGCACTCAGGCATGGATAACTAATGGACATACAGAGCCCGGGTTACTTCTTACATGTACACACATATAAAATTCATACTTTGCTTCCTCTCAGGTTTTAATGTCAGTCCAGCCGTTATAAATATGATTAATTAATAATATAGCCTGCAGAAATTGTCCCAAGACTGCTTAATGAGTCAGGACTGTGCAGCTGCTGTGCATCCATCCCAGTCTGCATGCTGTTCCGTGCTGCTGCAACTACAAGAAGAGGTTCCTTATTTTATTTTGAACACATGTTGGTGGCTATTTTTAGGTTGTGTTTAATCAGCAAGCTACTGGTGTGAAATTATAAAGTTGAGGAACAACAGGTTAACAGGTTACACATTTCCTAAATGTTCCGGTTTTCCTCCAGGGTTTAAAGATTGTTGTGAATTTGTGCTGCATTTTCAGCTTATTTTCACATCAGCCTCCTGATAACATGTTCTAATGTCAATTTTTTGGGATGTATTTGGTAATCTTGAGTGAAAATACTCAAGATTTAAAGAGAAACTTTAAAGAGAAATGCTTCTATTTTTGAAACGGAAAAGAAACACTTATTCCTAAATCTTTAAAAATACTGCAACATTAATCACTGCAGTTGCATGGAGCTTTTAGCCAGATGTAATTTAAAAACAACACTCACCACATTAAAACTGATTAGT